CCATGCCATAGAGGAATGTCCAGAACAGGACGTAGGTGAAGAGGCCTCCGATGAGACCTCCCGTGAAAAGAGGTCTTCGTGACTTAAAATATTTGATCAGGAGCAAGGAGAGCAGGATGGAGGCAAGCAGGTAGAAGATGAAGCCGTATAGGCCGGCGAGGCCGAGGATGCCGGCTGTGGCCCCCGACAACTCTGACACTGAGGTCCGGCAGTAATCCAGGATGGCGGTGTTGCCCCGCACAGCGGCCTCGCTAATGAACAGCGGCCCTTCCCGCTTGGCCACCACCGCAGCCATCGCATCCGCCGGGGCTAAGCCTCAGCTCTCTCGTGGAACAACCCGGAACTGGAACACAGCGGAGGACACAAATCACTTGGCTTTTCCTCAAACAGGCTGAAGTAGAGACCCCCACGGTGCCATCTTGCACTAACAGCAGATTTTCCCAATGCAGTTTGTCTTTTGATTTCCTGACTCCTTGTGCCAAGAGTGTTGATTGTGGAACCAAGAAAGTTGAAATTATTGCCAATCTCAATCTCTTCTCCATCTTTCATGATGTTGCCAGTTGGCCCAGTGGTGAGAATCTTTGTTTTCTTTCTTTTTTTTTTTTTTTTTTTTGTGGTGTCAAGGGTTCATTTTTTTATTATTATTAAATTTTATTAGTTTTAATGAACATTTACAGGGATTTTGGGTTTTCATTCCTTCATTGCTGCACCATTCTCTCTACCCTCCTCCCCAGTTTGTTCTTCTTCCCCGCCATCTGAATGTCTGTTTTAATTGTCCAGTTGCCACAGTGCTTGTCAAAGTCAGTTCTGATTAATCTCCTTTGTCGGTGTGTCCTTTGCCATTCCCTATCACTCCTCCCTGAGAGAGACTTCACCCTGATTCATAAGGAAAAGGGGATGGCGTATTCTCTTAGCTACTTCCTGCTGAAAAGGGACGCTGTGGGTTTCAGGGTGAAGATCTTCTCTCACTACTCTAAAGGGCCCCTTTGGCAGTAGGAAACACATAGACTATTATGGAGATTGATTTTGGGATTTAGATGCACTCTTATTGATTGTGCTTGGCCGTACATGTTCATATCCTTGAAGATGTATCATGGGGGTGTTGCAACCTAGAAGACACAAATTTGACTAACAAGTAATAAGTACATGAGTCAAAAATTATGGAAAAGTAAAAGAAAGGATTCTTTCATTGTTTTACAAACCCTCCCCCAGGTCCCCTCCACCATGTAGCCCTCGCTCTAGTCTCCTGTGATGACAGAAATACCTAGTTATATAACTCTTTTAAACAGTTTTCTCCCTCCTCTGTTTCAGTGCAGTATACATTATTGAACCCATCTTACTCAGTGTCTCCCCAACCCCAAGGACAGTCCCATTCTACAACAGTGGCATCATGTAATATTTGTCCTTTTGTGACTGGGATATTTCACTCAGCATAATGTTCTCCAGAGTCAACCAATTTGAATAATATTGCATGAGTTCCTTGTTTTTTAATGCAGCATAGTATTCCATTGTGCAAATATACCACAGCTTCTCTAGCCATTTGTTTGTTGCTGGGCACTTAGGTTGTTTCCAACTCCTTGCTATTGTGAACAAAGCGGCAATAAACATGGGTGTGCATATCTTTGTTTTCTTGATGTTGAACTTCAATCCATATTGGAGACTACAGTCCTTGACCTTCTACAGCAAATGATTCAGGTCCTCTTCTTCAGTCTCAGCAAGCAAAGTTATCATCTGTATAATACAAGTTGTTGACAACCTCAAAAATTCATTTAAGGATGAGCACTGAATTGGTTGTGACTCAACAGCATAAGTTGAGTTTGATTATTTAAAATATTTCAGGAGTAAAGAAACCAGAGCTGTCACCCAGGCAGGTATATGCACACTCTTATATATTGCTTCTTTGTTCACGGTAGCGAAGAGCTGGAAACAACCCAAGTGCCCATAAACAAATGAATGGCTAGAGAAGCTGTGGTATAGTCACACAATGGAATATTATGCAGCACTGAGAAACATAGAATTAATGAACTATTATACAGAATGGGTGACCATGGAGGACACTATGCTGAGTGAAATATCTGTCACAAAAAGACAAATACTACATAATACCACTATTATAAAACGGGACTGACATGAGGGTTGGGGGAAAACTAAGAAAAGAGGGGATAAATAATGTACATGTCATTGAAACAAATGAGGGAGAGAACTGTATAAAAGGAACATATGATTAGGTATTACTGGCATGGCAAGCATCCAGAATAAGAGCTGCATAGTAAAGTGGTGGGTTGGGGGCGGGATGTATAACAATGAAAGAACTTTTTTCCAAACAAAAAAGTGAACTGGACAGGGTGGGGGGAGGGGGGGAGTAGGAGGCAGGGAGGAAAATGTGCAACAAGTGAATGAATGGAAATCCAAGTTCTTTATAAACTTACATTAAATCTCAATTAAAAAATATTTCAGGAGTAGTAAATATTGTTTCTAAAGATAAATGAAGGGTCAGCTATGGGTCGATTCCGACTCTATGGTACACAACAACAATGTATAATCTGAATTATAACTTCTGATTTCTCCCTACCCCCCAGAAAAGATAAATGGACTGCAAATGAGCAATTAATGATAGTTCCCTTTATATTCAAGAGCCTTTTTACTTGCCGTGTGGTTGTAATTTGAAGCATTTCTGTAACAATTATTTGGCTGTTAGCCCAGCTTTTAGTGGTATTCTCAGAGTTTGCTTTTCCATAAAGAAAATTTGGCAATTTCTTGAAAAAACATTTAAAGATATTCATAACTATTGGTTTTGTTGTTGTTTGAGTGATAAAACATAGGTTCATCATAAAGAAGGAATGCAAGGCATAAGGCTGAAGAAGATTCCCAGTGCAAAACTGCTATGTCTCAGAGAAAGGATCTCACCCTCTTTATGGACCAGGAGGTTCTTGGAGCCTGAAAATGTCAAGCATTTATTGTTCAGTCCTGAATATTAGGCCAAATCCTGCTTCCTGAGTCTAGTTGATATTGGCCTCCTGGGTAGGTCTTTAATGGCCTGACCATCTCCTAATTGCTAGCAGAGTTCTTCAGGTATGGCCTGGAAGCAAGCCTATGACTACGGCATCCCAGTTAATCAAAAGGCAATTTCACAAAAACCAAAGACAAAAACAGCTTTACTTTGGGCAAAGCTGGATCCCACAATAGAAATGTCCAGGAAAATAAGGAAGCACCTGACACTGCATGTTTGGATTTTTTTGTTTGTTTTGTAAGAGGGAGTGGTAGAAATCTACATATCAAAACCTTCACTAATCATTCACTGATTTTTATACCCATTATTCTATATAGGTTGCATTCTTCAGATTGTGTCAACATTCACTCCCTTTCTACTCTGTTTTATTCCCATTAATTAAGACACAGTACCCCTTCACTTCTTATCTGTACTTTAGAAAAGCTGTAGTCTATTTGATCTTCTATAAATAATTTTTTTTTAAAGTACAGTACTTGAGGATGAAATTCTTTACTTTTTGTCTAAACCATTTTGTTTGTGTGTTTAAGTTGCAAGTGATAGTTGAGAGTTAAGATGTGAAGAACATCCAGTACAGTAGTCTTAGGAGCTTCTCCAGCCTCAGTGGATCTAGTTAAGTCTGGATTCTTAGGTTTTCAGTTTCTGAACATTTTTCTCCTTCTTATGACAGTGCCCCTGATTGATTCATTCAGTAATGGCAGTCACCATCAGCTCTTTTGGTTTCATATTAGAGGAAAAAGTGAGTTACTTAGTCCAGTAGTTAGGTTGTTTCCTCACATTCTTGGGTTTCTTTTTTCTTCTATTGCTCTAGGTCAATAGAGGTCAATTTTTTGTGTCTTGGATGATGACTAACAAGTTTTAAAAGCATATTTTTTTTATAATTCTTTACTGTGATGTCAGTTTTGAGAACTGGAAAGGTCTGCGAAAGAGAGGATGACCTTCAATGAGATGAATTGACACAATGACTGCGGCAGTGGACCCAAGTGTGTCAGATGGGGAGGATGGCACAGGATAGGACAGGGTACAGATCTGTTGTTCATAGGGTCACTGTGAGTCATACTTAACCTGATGGCACTTAACAAGAACAAGACAATAGGAAGTTCTGACTATGTAATGGGTAGGGAATTACAGTGCTCCACTCGCCACTCCTCAGGAGAAAAAAAAAGATTAACAATCTCCTCCTCTGAGATTTATAGCCTCTGAAAACTTGCTAGAGGATCAGCTGTGATTCGGTTCCTACTCAAAGAATTCTTTTGTTAAGAAAAGCATTTATTTTTACAGAACTCTAAGTGATCTGTCAGGTTGTTCAAATATTGTTTATCTGAAAGGATGATGTTCCTAGTTTTGTTTTTGCTTATCTGGTTGTGAGGATGCAGCCCTAGTAACAGATCCACCCAGATCAAGCACTGTGATCTCTAATCACAGCCAGTGACCTTAATAATAGACTTTGCCTACTCTTGCCTTTGCTCAGGAATATAGTAGCATGCTATGTTATGAACAGATGTCTTAAAAATGTATTAAAATTTTTTTCATGTTCTCCAAAACATCATTATCTTCCTGCATTCTAGGATGAGAAGTTAATTCTGAAAAGAATCACCTCCTGTCTATTGTGTCTTTCACTGAGGTAATCACAGAACCAACTTTGTACTACCAGATTTTCATCCTCATCTTTAGAATACAAACTGTTGTTTGGGGAACATTTTAAGTAATATGTTGTTGCTGTGTACTATTGAGTTGGAACCAACTTATAACTGACTTGCCAGAGGATTTTCAGAGGCAGTTCTTGGCATGGGAGGACATTGTCCACCTTTCTTCGCAGAGCAGCTGGTGGATTCAAACCACGTGCCTTTGGGTTGACAGTGCAGCTCCTCACCATTAAGTCATCAGAGGTCACTTTAAGTAAAATCAATGTGATAATATCTGTCTTCACATCATTTACCACTGTGCACTTATCTTGTGCTAGCAGAATACTAATTGTCCCAAAGTTGATTCTGTATTCATCATCATCTTACAGATGAGCATGAGTTGATTACCCAGTGGCACTCCACTGAATGGCAGACCTACTTCAAGTCTGACTTCACAGACCTGACCCTAGCCATTGCACAACACTGCCCTCCATTCACTTTTGGTTTTCTTGTACTAAGTGGTTATTAGATGCCCACTGTGCAATTGCTAGGCAATTGAAAAAAGAATCAGACATGTTTTCTGCCTATAAGAGGGTCACAGAACAGAAGTAGAGATAGGCTTACAATGCAATATAAAATCATAGTAGGTCCTGGTAGAAAAAG